TTGCTATGGCCAAGCCGAAGAAATTGAGAAGTTTTTTGGCATAAATGACGAGAATGGCCATCTCCCTGACGGACCGGAAAAGTAATGCAACGTCTGCGCCGCACCAACATATGGTCCCGTTCAGAATATCACCTTACAGGAAATAGAGGCTGCACTAAGGAAGATGAAGGCCAGTAAAGCAACAGGTCTCGACGACTTGGCAGCCGTGGAAGTCACAACGCTGTTTTCTGCGTATGGTTGGCGAAGCTCTTCAACCAGATCGTCCAGAAGAAGGTTCCCAAGGAGTGGCAGCAGAGCGCAACGGTCCCGCTTCGGAAGAAGGGCAGCCTGGCAGACTGCTCCAAATACCATCCAATGCGCCTTCTCTCGCACACTGTGAAAATCTTTGATAGGCTTGTTGATGACCGTGCATCGTCGGTGTTCTCCATCAGTCAGTGTGGGTTCGCCTCGGGCTGCATCGACGCCGTACGTGCCGCTCGCCTTCTGCTGGGGAAACATCGTAAGCAGCGAAAGCGCGTGCATGCAGCCTTCTTAGACTTGGAGAAGACGTTCTATCGCGTACCGCGTGACGTTATATCGTATGCTTCAAGACAGCACGGCGTGCCCGAAGAGCTAATTGAGTGGGTGCGTTTCTCAAGCCGAGGGAGTCAAGTGCGTTCACCAGCGGGCGTTTCAACGGAGTTCCCCATCACCGCCGAAGTACATCGAGGCTCTGCACTCTCCTCACTCGTTTCGTTGTCGCCATGGATGCCATCTCATGGCATCTCCAGAAAGAAGTGCCTTGGACGGTGCTTTACGCTGATGATGTGCTTATGCTTGTCTGTGAAGATAAGAACGCATTGCAACAGCTGATGCAAGCTTGGGCTGATCGCCTGGCGAAGTTTGGACTCAGGTTGAACGTCAATAGGCTGAGTACCTGGCAACCAACCCCAGAGAAGCCGACTTCATCAAGATCGATGACACGGTGTTCAAGCGCACTAAAGCGTTCAAGTATCCCATTCGGCAATTGCGTCCTCAGAAGTGAGCGGAGTGCGACATGGTCTAAATGGTGATCCTTCGTGACAAGAAAATGCCAGAGCGTTTCAAGCCAAAATCGATGGGACTGTCGTCCTACGATCCGCTATACGGTGCAGATGCTGGCCCGCGATCGCAGAAGTTGAAGCTCGCCTCGGTGTAATAGAGATAAAAAGTTGTTCTGGGTGGCGGGCTTCAAGCGATCGGACCGAATTTTAATGATTTTGCGCAAGAAGTATGGTATAGTCCCCATTAGCAGACAACATGCGAGAAACATGCGCCTCACATGGTACGGATGGGTACTTACCCAAAGGCTGAATCGTCCGTAGAACTGGTTTCCAGCGTGAAGTGCTTGGAAAGCGGCCAAAGGGGCGTCTCAAACAGGCCCTTTGGCCGCTTTCCTGCTGGCCTGAAACGCTGCATACCGACTTGAAAATAGCCGACATTCACCCTGATCAGATTCAACCGGGAGAAGTGGCGTAGTTATATCAAAAGAGCAGACCCTGCCATCAAGCGGCACAAACTCTGAGGAAGAAGATAAAGAACTGTACATCCAGTAGTAGGTACTGGTACTGAAGATCAATAATTCCTCAATTCCATGAAAGTTCAAGGAAGGGAAAATACTTACGTAAAAAAACCGTGTCAAAATTAGGATTGCGAAATTAGTGTGC